CCAGCCATTCCTTTGTGAGGTAAATGAAAGAAAAGGAATCAGTGGAAGAAAGGACCTAGGATATATCTGTATTTCTTTAACTGTCTCAATCTTTGGATTCTGCACATTAGGGTACAACGATAATCTAACACTAGTACTACTCTCTTACACTCCATCCCTGCCATGATCAATATCAACTGCGGGTCTTCTGATAATAACGAATAGGCCTGATATTTTTAATATTATTATTAAGTAATTCTTCCCTCTGTTTCGACAACAGCCAACAACACTTCGAATCAATCCTACTCTTTTCGGGGGTGATCTCGATTGACCACGGCTCGATTGGACACCACCAATCACAGCGACCGGTGCTTAGGAGCTTTGTAGTCTCAAGCGCTGTGAGTGGCTCGTGTCCAATTGAGCCGTGTCCAACTGGGTGTCACCCCTCCTTTTGCGCAAGAAAAAAAGGTATGAAGATCTCCCCTGTTTATCAAAAAAGGCGTCACAAATATGAATAGGAAGGCAACGGGAAATAACACGTGCAAATCGGAAAAGTTGTACCCGAGTAGAATCCATTTTCCTATAAGTATCATTTATTTCTAACTTCAAAATATTCACAATACATTGATGTCTAATATATTCGAATTTTTTAAATGAACCGTTCCCAAAAAATTCCAAACTAAACCTATGTAGCCGATGCAAGTGAGGTGGGACAATATTGTTCGCGATACAGTATCTTAAGAATCTAGCGTGTAAAAGACTTTTAGTTAAACAAATTGTTAAATTGTTAAATTGTTTTTATAGTTTTTCTTACTCGATCTAGCAGAGCCAAGTGTTTTTACATGAAAAATTTTTCTATTTAAATTAAATTTTTTCATTTTATACGGTTAATTCTTTAATTTTTGTGATAACACTTAAATTGAGCTAGGTAACGCAACTTTGTGGTAACGTTTTGTATGTTATTTTGAAAGAGAATGAAATACCCACTACTTTAATTGGAAGAGAAAATGTCTTTGTATGTGAATAAATTGTGATATAATAATTTCATTTAAGAAGAATTTAAACCATTTGGATTGGAATAGAAAGATCCTTCAATAAGATATACGTACACTTAGGTTTCATTGTATAAAAATTAAAGATAGTATTATTTGGATTAAGTAAATAAAGAAATGGAATTTAGCGCCAGTTCTTGGTATATCAAACCCTTTATAGGAATGATACATATCATTAAAGTCAATATTATTTATTTAATTTGGTATCCGAATTACATGGAATTTAACTTGGCGCCAATT